CATTTCCGAACGATATCAGCTGCTATTCCTTCGCCGTAACTTCCTCCGCGGCGGAGACGAGCGTAATTTACACGTGCGATACATTAATGCGATTGCTCGTCCATTCCAGAGCCTTTCAGCGAAGGATATGGCGTCTTCTCGTTTGAGACATTGGAGACACGTATAATTACTATGTTTAACTATGTGTAAGATGCACGCTTCTTAATGATACATTACGCTATTTTTAACACAGGGTATATACATATATATATATATATATATTATTTTCGTATTTGAAAATTGAAAATAAAGAATGGTTCGGTGTTTAGTGAAGTCGTGCAAAAATAATTCTGCTCAATGTCGCAAAGACATTAGTTTTTTTAAATTACCTTCCAACGAGGTAATTCGTGAAGCATGGGTCAGGCGAATTGGGGAGGTTAAGCTACCGAACAAAACGGAAGATGGTAAGTTTGAAAACTTTTGTAGGTTATATTAGTAATTTCTATAGTATAAATATCAATATTTTTTACAATCATTCAGCAAGGATCTGCTCCGACCATTTCACTGACGAATGCTTTCGCATAGGAATTAAATGTAAAAGGCGCAACCTTACAAAAAGTGCAATCCCATCACTGTTTTTGACCTCTCCAAAAGTCAGGTATGTTCTATACATTCTAGAAAGTGTAAAACAAAATGCTTTGATGAATTTTCTTATACTAACAATTATGTTACCCTCCTTTAGAGAAGATGACATGAATTTAAAGTTTAATGTCATTCGGAGAAATTTTGTTCTTGCTCCTGCCAACAGCAGTGCAAGCATTAATGACACGAGCTACAACAGTGATGGAAATGCATATGAGATTGTGAACGAAGAAAATATCCAAGGCAGTGAATATGCAGCAGGTCCATCAAATGTCAATGACAATTGTCAAAATACGTCGAATCAAAGGTAATGACATATTACGTTAGAGTTTTATTGTAAATTATTTCATAGCTGCAGAATCATTGAAAAGTTATTGATGCAATAGGCATAATAAAAAAGATTACATTGTAGTAACAGAAAATTACAGTACAATTCTTGTATAAGTACTAGAACTTGGAGTAAAAGTTTTCTTGCTTTTATTCATATCCCCTTGCTCCACTGTGGAGCGCTCTAGGGCTCTTAAAAGTAATGAAGTTATAAATTACTGGTACAAAGTGTTGCAAAATAATGTTCTTTCCATTATGTTATAGCAAAGACCAACCTGTATTAAACTGAAAATTTAATTTTTATTTAGTAATCCGTGGCTGGATCCATCCTTTCGAGCGACCACAATACCACCAAGCTCACGAGAACAATTGGGTCTTATGACCAACCACACGTTTCCAAAAAGGTATGAAATACAGAATGTAATTTCAATTAATACTCGTAAGATAAAAGTAATAGCCAGTAGTTCATTTATGAAACTTAAACTCTTCACTTTCCTTTTAAAGGACTTAACTTTCATACTGATTAGCTTCTGTGAAAAAAATGACAAGGTAAAAATGACATTAATTCGACATAACCTACCTGAACAAATAAATATTACTATACTTTCGAAGAATTGAAGTGAACTTTTGTTACAAGTGTCTGTAGGAACTAATTTTTTTTACCTACGTATGGTTATTGCATCTCTGTAATGAAGCAGGTTTACGTGGAAAAAATCTCACATTAGTTACGGAACCTTGCCGACATATGCTTTTGTAGATAAAAAACCGACTGTATTCGAACTTATGAGCCAGGGTGGAGCTATGGATGGCACACATGACTGCGAAATACAGGAATAGTTTCTACTGATTAGAAAATACAAGTCGCTGGACGAGCACACTTTGTTAAGGTATATGCCAGCGACAAGACAGTACATATCTGCAGTATGTAACTGTGTAATGCTTATTTTAATTTGTTAATTTTTCATCTTATACATTAAAAATACTATATTTATCACTACACATGAAGTATACATTACAGACGCAAGAACACAAGTAACAGTCGGTGAATGTGCAGATGTGATTACTATTCGTAAACTGAATACACTTTAACTTTCCTGCATGTATGTTCATTTTTCTTTTTACATTTTTTATGCTAAGAAAGAAAAAATCAATTAATACAGATGAAGAACAGGTCCAACAAGCACAACGATCAGTAGAATAAGTGAAAATGTGCACTGCGCTAATAATATTCACATATGCACATTCACCGACTGTTACTTGTATTCTTGCTTATGAAATTTATTCTTTATGTGTAGCCCTGAATATAGTATTTTCAATGTATAAGATGCAAAAGTAAGAAAAAATACAATTAGAATTTAGAGTAATATAATTTCTTCACGTACACATATCGAGGTAATGTGTCATTTTTATCTTGTCATCTTTCTTCGACAAGCAGAATCTTAGGAGTGTCTTAGTGTGTTAAAAGAGTGTCATTTTCATAAATGTAACGTAGGCTTCACAATTATTGGCACTCGGTATTTTTTATTTATTTACTTTATTTTAAATTCATCCTTTTTTTTATTAAAAATCATTCGAAATGTACACGCACCACACAGACGGGGTGAAAGTACATTTCTAAAGGGCTATTGCAATTACTACAAATTTTACACAGATCCCAGACATCGAAGTTGTTTTGCGGTCGATCTAGAAGTTTACGAAGAAAGAGCAGGACACAAGTGGTAAAGATGTTCCGTTCACGCTCGAAAAGAACAAAGGAGTAATTTTTTTCATTTTCGTGGTATCATGAATTAGTCATTCAATTAAGAAAGTCATTAGCCACAACTTGTACAAAGGAACCGTCAACCTGGTTACCATTAACTTTGTTTTCCTTAATTTTTCATGAAAAGAAGACATTATATAACACATATATTAATTTATAGCAAAAGCAAATTTAGTGTAAAAAATTCTACTGACACAGTCCCAATTTATTGAGTTTTTTTTTTACATTTGCAGATTAATAAGTAAATGAGGGAGTACATAAGCCTACATTTACGTTGCAATTTAAACAGAAAATTCTAGCACACTTACAGAGGTGCATAAATCTCAACTTAATATTCATTTCTTTATTAACATTTGTAAATGGATATATTTCGAATTTGGAATTATTCAATTTAAAAATACGTATATATAACTAAGTAATTTATGCATTAAGTATAGGTAATTGTTTAATGGAAATATTTATTTTTGGTGTTCGTACTTTGTTTCGTGCTCATAAGTCAGTCTTGCTTGTATGGACTCCAATTCCTACCGTGTTATTGCATGAAGTATGTGCTTTATGAATGCATTTTCACAATTTCAGGACAACATCAATGGACGACGTGCTAGAGTATGCGAGCGATGAAAACGTTCCAGTCATTAAGCGAAGGAGATTGTACGTATGTTAATAACTTATGTTATTATATTACATTTTCCTAAATTATACATGTTTTATATATGTAATTACTGATATCCTATTTATCGATTTCTTGTGATAATGACTTAATTATCACATTTCAGATTCCTCGAAGAAAACTGTAATGGGGAAAGACTGGCTTACATAACGCTTAAGACACCAGAGGATGAATCTTTGCAGTCGATTCAGAATCTGAAATCTGAGCTGCAACACTACCGGGAACTGAATGATTTTCATATTAAATCAAGATCTGACCGAACAGAAATGGAGAAAACTTTGAAATTACAATTATCTGAAAAGGAAAAATATATTGAAGTACTCATTACCGAAATCGAGGATATAAAGAGAACAGTAAAGGATCTGCAAGCCAAATTGGAGGGAACTGTCAAGGACATTGAAAATAACAAAGAGCAGAATGCAATTGTTACACGGGATCAACTACGGACGTATTTCACTGAGGGACAAATAAGATGTATAATTGAAAGGAAAAAGTGGATCCACTGGTCTATCGACGATTATGCTGCAGCAATTTCTCTGCGGAGCATCAGTCCGAAGGCATACAGATATCTTCGTTTGAAGCTGAACTTCCCGTTACCGTCACTGTCTAGTCTAAGGAAATGGGCACTGAAGTCCTTTGACATCCGGGAAGGATTTTTAACTGATGTTCTTGCCGTAATGACAGAGAAAGCGAAAGATTTGTCATCGAGAGACAAAATTACTGTTATATCTTTTGACGAAATGAGTTTATCTCCAGAACCATATTTCGACATAAATCTGGAAAAATTAATAGGATCATGCAGTAAAGTGCAGGTAATTATGTGCCGTGGACTGTTCTCAAATTGGAAACAACCTATTTATTACAAATTTGACCAGTCGATGACGAAGGCTATTTTAATGGATTGCGTCATTACATAAATCCGGATATGAGGTCGTTGCTGTTGTTTCCGACTTAGACAATAAAGGAGTATGGGGAGAATTGAAAGTAACGGCCGACAATTACTTTTTCAAGCATCCGTCAATTGAGAATGGAAAAATCTTTGTTTTTGCTGACGTTCTTCATTTATTAAAACTCCTGCGAAATTGGTTTATAGATGAAGGTTTGTCCCTTGGTAATTGCAAAAATGCATTTACCGCTGCCGTCTTCGAAACGCTTATTAAATTAGGTAACTCAGGCGACCTCCGAATAGCCCATCGTATCACTGAACGTACTCTACATGTGGTTGGCTCCGCGAGGCAAGCCGTCAGACCTGCAGCAAGAATCTGGTCTCACACCACAGCCAAAGCAATCGAATGGGCTGGAAATCAAGGATTGTTGGACATTCCTGAATATCAAAAATTTTCGTATTTCGTGTTAACTGTTAATAAATGGTTTGATGTCCAAAACTCCTACACACAATATGGAGCACATTCCGGAGTTAACGCTTTTGGAGTCGACTTAGAGTCTCAGGTGCAGTGTTTGGTTCTCATGTCGATGTACATCGAGAACATGCGAGTAGGCAAAAGAACAACTCTAATGCCTTTCCAAAAAGGCATAATAATCAGCAATGCCTCTCTCCAAGGGCTATATCAACATTTACAGAAGAAATACCCTGAGCACTGTAAATACATCTTGACACGCCGGCTTCAACAAGACATTTTGGAAAACTTTTTTTCATATGTTAGGGCAATGGATTCTGGTAAAGATAATCCATCGGCGTATGATTTTAGGTACCGGCTTCGATGGTACATTCTAGGTAAACATTCCCACACTGTGTTCAGCATGAATAAAAACACAGAAGAGGATGAAAGTACCGTTTGCCTTTCAGCATCTTCCTCATGTGCTACTGAGTTTTCGGTCACAGAGGCAGAATCTAGAAGTAAACGTGCTACATCGACTCCATTTCGTGGTGTTACGAATGTTGATGCAAACTCGATTGAAGAGGACATGGAAAACAGTAACTACGACTGCATTCAATCAGACGACCAAATAATTCTTACTCAAGAGTTATTTAAGGATATAATTAACATTTCACCCGAAGAGTTACAGCAAGATGTACATGAAGGCAACGAAACGAACAGAGAGTTTTGCAATGACGCGATCGAAGATGATGAAGAATTGACATGGTTCTTTGAACGTTATTTCCAAAGTACCACTCAAATTGCTGGATGGGACAATAATTCTGAGATCGTTCAGGATGCTGGGATCGAGTACGTTGCTGGCTACGTTGCTCACCGGTTCAAACATATTTATCCTTCTTTAGGGGACAAGACGAAGGATGTGGCAGCCAATGACAAACGAAGCTGGGTTTTAACAGTTTCCAAAGGCCATCTTACCTACCCATCTGAAACAATGCTATTAGCGACTAAAATTGTAGAAAAATGTTTTGCCGATTTTCATGGAAGTCACTTTTCCAAAGAAGAGCTAGTTCTTGCAGAAAGTTGCAAAACTGGCAAAGAAAAATGAGAACTACCCTTCTGAAATTCCCGATAAAGTTCTTATGTGCCTTGTAAGAACGCGAACATTTATTAGGGTAAAGGAAATATGTAAACGTGCTTACGAGAAGAAGGAATATCGAAAAAAAGAAAAAAAATGAAAAAAATTGTCGGTGTACCGAAAGCGAAGTAACTTGTCAGCTTCTTTTAGGTTAATTTTAGAGACACAGTTCATTTCCATCTGGCAATATAATGTTAATATAGAAGCTACTTTATATGTGTTGTATTACAAATATTCCTGCTTAAAGGTTCGGACAGAAAATGTTATCCCTTTTCATAAGGATTGCGATCATAATTTATTCAATTCATTTCCGTTATTATATTTCAATTGATTTTGTCAGTTTTGACGCATACATTACTTTCATTAATAATATTCTTTACTTCAATTCTTATTTGTTTCTTTTCCACATTTATTTCTGACATCTGGTATACTGGGCGAAAGTAAGGATTAAACTGAAGAAAGTTGTTAATGAAAGTTACGTATGCGCCAAAAGTGAAAAAAATAATTGAACTGTATTAATGGAAATGAATTTAATAACGTCGGATCGAAATCCGAATAGAAACGGATAGATTTTCTATTTTTAACCAAGGATACCGATTCGTCATGGATTTTTATATGTGTAATGTCGTTACGAAAAAATGTTTATATTTATTTATGTACATAATGTAATGTAATCAAAAAAATATGTTGTTCAATGCCCAATAAATGAAAACGGATTAAATGGTATTAAAAATGTTCAATCCCTTTTTCGACAGAATTCGAAATGAAATTACACTTTATTTGTTAGAATGATAATATCTTTCACGATATTTCACACATTACATGTAAAAATATTAAATTCCATTCATTTATGTACATGTATATATCATTAATATACAGCATCTGCGTAGTCGCTACTTTTTTATATTATTTTCATTTCCTTTCCATATTTGAAAATCGCGCGAGTCTTTGCCTGTATAACCTTGAAAATTGGACAATGTAACGGTCTTACATTCCTAGACTCTAGGAACTTTCGTAAGGTTGGTACACTTTGAGCTCCCTCAATGTAGAAATTTAGACAAAGAAACTATTTTCAAGAGAGAAGACAAACGAAACGAGCACACCATGTATACTTCCACCATGGTATCAGGGCCCTGATTCTCTAATCTATCGTAAGAGAAACGTATACGAAAAATTAGGAAAATGCTACGGTACACGTTACGTATACTATAGAATTTTCCTATTTTTTCGTATACGTTTCTCTTACGATGGATTAATTATACCTGGTTTATGCCTGGGGCATAAACTATTCCTGATGCCTGGTTTATGCTTCAGGTCTTAAGCGGGGAGCACAGACTTTTGCATAACGCATAGAGCATGTGCATAAGGAATTTCATTGGTCCATTTTCTTATGTATGAGTCAATGGACCAATCAAATTCTTTATGTATATGGTTTATGCGTTATGCAAAAGTCTGTGCTCCCCGCTTTATCCCAAAGAGGGGATAAATCCCAAGATCCTAAAATTCAACCAATAAAGCTGCCAGTTCTAACCGAAATTTGAACTCTATTGACTGAATTTTAGGATTAAGTCCTTAAGACCGAAGCATAAACCAGGCATGAAAAGAAACGTATACGAAAAATTAGGAAAATACTACAGTATACGTAACGTAAATTGTAGTATTTCCCTAGACTTTCGTATACGTTTATTTTCAAGAATAGACCCCCTGGTTTATGCTTCGGTTTTAAGGTCTTGGCCCGATATTTCATGTGTCATACGACAAGGCTTTTCAAGCACGTTGATTGGCTATAGGACAGAGAGATCCGAGAATCTCTCTGTTTTACAGCCAATAAACAGGCTTGAAAAGCCTTGTCGTACGACACATGAAATATCGGGCTCACACTGCATCCGATTTTCGTCGTACGACGACTCTGCAACCAATCAGAAAAATCGTATCATCGATACGAAGCAAAATTTTGTTTCCTAATTGGTTGCAGAGTCGTCGTACGACGAAAATCGGATGCAGTGTGAATCCAGCATAAAGCCCATTCTACATTGGTCGTATCGTAGCATCGTAAGCGTCGTGAGACTTTAAATTGATACATCGGATTAGCTGTTGCAACAAATTTGTGACCTGCGACGCCTACGATACGACCAATGTAGAATGGGCTTTATGTAGGATTCACACCTCGTACGACATCCGACATACGACGGTACGATATCCAATAGGAGAGCTTGTTTTCTAGATATATACGACAAGCATCATCGTACGACAAAATTACTACGTTTACACGGTTCGATTTACGCCGAAGTTATAATAACGATGTTATGAAAGTAGCCAATCGCAGTCATTCCATTCTTCAGAGGAATAGTTATGATTGGCCAGTTTCGTGACATCGATGTTATAACATCGGTGTAAAGCGTAGTAAAATATTGTTAGCTATATATCTAGAAATTATTTTCTTGTGCTCTCCTATTGCTATTGCTTAAGTTATGGCCTTATGACCTCTACTGTGATTGGTCAATTCGCTTACTGCTTATGTCATACTGCCTTAAGTTTTTTATGTATGTACCATGGTCTTAATTCTGTATTCCAATATGGCAGTATTGACTTTCCTGAATAATTTAATTTTATTTAAACTTTTATTCTCACAATTGCAAGATTTGTATATTTCATAAATATGTATGTACATACATAAGAAAGATTAGATATAAAAACAATACCATTAAGGAGTACGGTCAACCGGATCAACGCGATGCTACAAATGCTTTGAAGAGTTTCTTGATTGGTCAATTAGTAAAATTCTTTCTTCTGATTGGTCAATCAAACGCTACAAAGCATTTGTAACGAGGTTTTGACCGCACCCAAGATTATGTATAAAAAGCGTAAAATACAAAATATAAGCGAACAGCTTGGCGGTCACGTATGTCAACTGTGGAATTAGCTGTGGTTACAATATGGCTGCTTCATTTAGGAGGGAATATCCTCGGAATACATATCAGATTACTAATCAGAAACTCGGACATCAAAATGTCACTCCAGTCAGCCATATACTTAGCAAACATAATGAAAAGCACAGGCAGTAAGAACAGGAAATAAGATATTTCAACCTATCAGCGTTCATTCTAATAGACATGGTTTCTGATAGGTTGAAATTGCTTATTCTTTGTTTCTATGGCCGGTATTTATAGTCAGTTCTTATATTCAAGACCGTCTTAAGTTCAATTTTGAGGTGTCATGAACCAATCAGACAGCTGCATTAGCAGCTTAAGAAATTACTTAAGACGATCTTAAAATAAGAACCGACTATGAATACCGGCCTATGACCCCTTTTACACCGAGCACTTGATACGCGTATTAACTAGTAATTTTCTATTAAATAATCTTAATTTCAGCAATGTATTTAAAGAATAATGTGTTAAATTAGTAAAACATGCATCAAAATAAATAATTAAATACACATATAGGTCCGTATTCAGAACGCACTTTTATCGATAAAAGCGCGCTTTTATCTCTGAAATTCTATAGTATACGTGACGTAAACTATAGCATGTTAGCGCGCTAACATCGTTGTTAAGGTTGATTTATACTGGCCGTAAACTTTTAACTTATGCCGTAATCTGTAAAAATTGACCAATAACAGTCGAATGAGAGGGGAATAATCGATTATAATTGGTCAATTTTTACAGATTACAGCATAAGTTAACAGATTACGGCCAGTATAATCCAACCTTTAGCGCGTTCTGAATACGAGCCATAATGTATATGTTTACACATAACGCTGAAATTAAGATAATTCAATAGAAAGTTACTGGCTAGTACTCGTATCAATTGCACGATGTAAACTAGGCCTATTGCCTATGTTTTTCATTGTGTTTCCAGCTTAAGCTTTTTAAAATTTATCTTTAGATGCTTAGTAGCCAATAAAATAATTTACAAAGCATTTGAAAACCTTAAATATAAGGCCGAATTCTCACCTTGACGAAAAAAACAGAAAGCGTAAGAGCAGTAGCCAATCAGAACTCGCTTTGGTAGTAGTATAGTACTAACAGAAAGTAACTAACAGATTGGCTGGGTTCAGCAGAAAAAGCAGCTTTGCAACTGTTGTAAAATTCTTGAATATGATTGGCTTATACATTTAGATCTAATGAGAAAATAAGGACAAGACCAATCATATTAAAGAATTTTACAACAATTGCAAAGCTGCTTTCTCTGCTAAATGCAGCCATTGGGCGAGTTCAAGACGACAAAGCGGCTAGGTACGCTTGCAGAGCGATTGAGTATGATTGGTTGGATCTATAAGTAATAACCAATTATATTCAATCGCTCGGCAAGCATACCTAGAGATCCTATATGGAGAGATGGGCCAATGTCCGGCATGATGTTGTGAAACCGGAAATCACATGATCTTGGAAATGCGCGCTAATATATCAACGCCAATTTCGAAACATCACGTAACACTACTTGTTTATTATAACTTTGTTAACTCAAAGTTGTAATGAATAATTATTAGAGAAAGTTTATTTTTCGTAAATATAGAATTGTGGATAAAACAGACAAAATAGACAAAAACGTGCAAAACGTATTAAATTCGAATAAAAAAGTTGCTTTCCATTTACACACAGTGATACGAAATCTGAAGTGATATGAATATTTTATATTTAAACAATGACTTTACTACTTATTTATTTGGTGAAAACTTATCGCATAATAACACAGATTTCTAACCTCATATTTAATGTGAGTTAACAAGATTTAATAAATCATACGATCTCGAGTTTGTGCAGATTGTTGGCAAAAAGTCAATTGCCAGAATGAAAAAAAAATTGGTTGGATCTATAAGTAATAACCAATTATATTCAATCGCTCGGCAAGCATACCTAGCCGCTTTGCCGTCTTGAACTCGCCCATTGGCTACTGCCTTTCCGCTTTCCGCTTTTCTATCAAGGTGTGAACCCGCTCTTAAGCCCATGGCACATAGAAAAACGTAAGGTCGTAAACGTAATCAGTAAGCGAATTAACCAATCACAGTTGAGAACGTAAGCGGCGGCTGCTTACGTTCTCAACTGTGATTGGTTAATTCGCTTACTGATTACGTTTACGACCTTACGTTTTTCTATGTGCCATGGGCTTAAGAGCGGGTTCACACCTTGACGGAAAAACGGAAAGCGGAAGAGTAGTTTAAGCCCATGACACTAATGGCACATTCGATACATATGCACTGACACGATTCTAGTGCTGCCCTGACACGGTGCTGTTCTGAGAGCCCCAACACACACTTTTGCATAACGCATAAAGCATGTGCATAAGGAATTTCATTGGCCCATTTTCTTATGCATGAGTCAATGGACCAATCAAATTCTTTATGTATATGGTTTATGCGTTATGCAAAAGTCTGTGCTCCC